TTCATTTGATAGGGATTTATTCCAGTATGTGTACATCTATTTCGCCAACTCCAGTTTTGTAAACTGACATTTTTATATACCTTGGACTAATTTTGACACATGTTTGCCAATTATTGAAATCCTAGTATTTACGTGCAAAGTAAAGAAGTTTTAACCTGGAGAGAACACAATCATCCATATATTAGTAGTCCATTAGATTTTCTCTCCCCAAACACATTCTTCTCTCCATAAGAAATCTTAGATATGAAGCCGCAATATTTAGTTTCTTCCTAAGTCATCGATTTACCTTTCCTAAAGTTACGACATAACTTAGGAATATCCTAAGATAAGACGAGGTTAGTGAAACGGATAAGTAATGAACTTAGGAAAAAGTTCTTTCCTAAGATAGAACTTAGTCCTAAGTAGGCTTTGTGAAACGGGCCCCGGTTTGTACTCACTGTACATATTCTCACTTTTTTGTGGCTAAACATAAAATAGGTGCTATTTATCTTACCTTTCGAAATGCTTATTTATTTATTTAATATTTATTTATTATACCCCCCGCTTGAAAAGCGGGAGGGTATATAGTAATCGGTATTTTCGTCCGTCCGTTCGTCTCGTCCGTCGTTACGCTTTGAGGTACCATCTCTTATCTGCAAATTTAATGAAACTTTCACAGAATCTTTATTACATATTGCCATTGTGCACCTCCTATTTTACTTTTTGATCAGACATATATATATATTTTGGGTTTTCTAGAGCAAAACATGGACACTGCCATTTTATTCATATGGGAGGCGGGGGTATCATTTAGTGAGCTCATCGCTCACAGTACCTCTAGTTTAAAACATATTTTTAACAGGTATTGTTTAATTTTATAGGCTGCGGCTTTTTTTTCATTTTCAAATGAAAATAAGGAATTTGTTTATCCTCTGTTTACCCTTAATGTAATTAGATTTTCAGAAAGTTGAATAAAGATTTAAATATGTATGATAAATGCACCACATGATATACGTTCATGTAAATCGGTGCTGCTTGTAAAAAATATATTGAAATTTTTTAAAGCATTTATTTTAGAAATCATATAATAAAAAAAATGAAATAAAACATAATAATGCAAAATATACAATACAGATAACAAAATTTAAAAAAAAAAACATATCAAGTTATAAACGCAACATTATTAGAGGTAGTTTTGAGACATTTATAAATTAAAAAAAACAACAAAGAAATAGGAGTAATAAGCATTAAATACATGTCCATCCTCAAAGACATATGTTGAATTTCTTTAAAATATCCGCGATTCCTTGTCTGATTTTCTTGTTAACCACACTATATACAATAGGATTTGTTGCGTGCCCAAGAAAAAAGAAGTATCGAAACACCAAACTGTCATATATATTAAAAATAGCAAAGAAAAAAGGAATCCAGCAAATTAGATAAATAAATGTACACACGAACATCATGGTCCAGGTTTTGGTTCGAACATAAGATGTACTTTTAGAGAAACGAAGTATTTTCTTTCGCTTTTGAACTTTATTTTTCCTTGTTTGACTGATTTGAAGACCGTCCTCCTGAGATGACGTCACTCCTTCAACAGGTGATTCTGTTCTCGAGTGTGCAGCCGATCCCTCCTCTGTGTTTGGTTCTGGACAGGTTCCTGGTCTTGGTGAATAAGTTTCAATACTGTCACCATTAGTACTTTTGTTCAATATTCCCCTTTCCCGCCTCTCCTCAAGTTTTTGTGGATTTTCTGATGGCTGTCCAGTAGAATGCGAAACTGAATGCCGAATACGTTTCTTGTGTGTATAAAGAATTACGTAGACAATGACATAAATTATTATCAGGAGCAGGAGTTCAGCTGATATCATGGTGGACAGGAAGTCCCTATAAATTTTGCTACCATTATCGCCCAAAGTAGTTGTTGTATACCAACAAAATGTTTCCGATGTCTCGGTGCCATGATTGAAGACTTTCGGTTGGTTTGTCTCATTTTTGGATGCATCGTTACTGTGAGGTGCCACTTCAATAATAAGTGCTGCAGGAATAGAACAAATTACCGATATCAACAGCAGAACCAGAATAAAGATAGTTTTCATTTTTGCGGTAACATATTTTTTCATTGGTTTCCAGACCAGCAATAAACGTTCTCCGGCGATCAAAATCAAAATTAGGTTGGAGAATGCCACTGAACTATGTCGCACAACCTCCATTCCATGGCATATGACGTCATTGGTCACCATATTGAATTCAAAGAAGATGGTATAGGGAACAATAATGAGATTGATAACCAAGTCTGCTACTGACAGAGTTAGTATATACTTCCGTACCACAAAAGAATGTTTCTTGATAAAGTACACAAGAATAATAAGAATATTCCCTATGATTCCGCACGTAGCGAAAATTGACATCAACAGTATAAACAAAATCTGATCGGAATCCATTGCCTTTCTTGTTTTCACAGGGGCATGTAAACGCAAGATTTGAAATACTAGTCAATGATTCTTGTTCTCTGGTTTATATAAGAAATTTGTTAGACCTTGTGATTTGCTGAGGTTTTTCATATAAAAAATTCTTATGATGCTGACAATGTGTCGGTCAGCTAAGTCTTACGGGGTGGCAAGTCAGTGTCATATCGTAGGTGATCTTTTCATCACTGACAGGGATTTACTTCTGATCAAATCCTGTCTTAAAATAGATACTTAAGTAGTATATTACGTTCATGGCGTAAACAGTCTTAAAGTATCAAAACAATGCGTTCATTTATGCAACAACTTAATGTGTAATTTGATATACCGGTTTATATTTAATTATATGATTAAATAAAATATTTCGTAAAAAGTAATTTTTGTTTTATTGCGTTTTAATTTGATTCTGAAGTAGAACAGTTGGATTAGATCATTATCTGTAAAACTGATCTGACCTCTCGAGTAATGAATGAGATACTAGCCATAGAAAGAGCAGTTTATGTACATTCAAAACTCAAAAGAAACCCTATGTTGCATGAGTATATAAAATATTTAATAAAATTATACTGACAATATACGAACGAATAGTGTTCAAAGGAATTTTTTATGATAAAATCTTATTCGTTTGACAAATTTTGAATAAGAGATCTTCATTTCAATAAGCATTTTTTTTTTTTGGTTTGTTTTTTTTTTCATAGAATTTTTTCTTTGCCGTTGCTTTAAGCTTAAGCTAGCCTTTCTTACCAAATCTTGTCTGACTTTCATGTAGCTGGATGTGTAACCGTCTAAAACTTTTCACATTTTCGACATCTTCTCAAGAACCACTCGGCAAATTTCAACTAAACTTGTTACAAAGTATCCCTGGGTGAAGGAGATACAAATTTCTTTTTTTAAAAAAAGGTTGTGCCTTCTTCCAAGGAGAGATGTTTTAGAAATACGAGGTAGTAAATCTTTTGACATTGTTCAAAAATCATTTTTCTCAAGAAACACAAAACTAGAGGAGCTGAAACGTAGGGAATGCTTTAAGTTTGTTCTAATCAGGGTCCCAGGGAGTAGTGCAGAACACAATGGTAAATCAAAGTTTTTGGAATATACTTGTATTCAGTATGACTATATAAGGAGAAAACAAGAACACCAGCCGCATGATAAGTTGTGTCAATATGGAAATACCCCTGTGGCGTTTTTTTTTTCCAGATCTGTTCAAATTTTGGCCGCTGGGTGTAGTATAGGACCACGATAGACAATCGAAGTTTTATGTAGGATTTTTAAAAATGCAAAGTTTAAGACATAATTAGTTAAATAAGTGTAAAAGCATTCTGTTGAAGATTTTAAAGTTTGGCTAAATCGTGGCCTCATGAGAATAAGATAGGACGGTAATGGTCGAAATCTGTTAATGTAGAACAGCAGGACCATAAGTGACTCGGGTGAGCGGTGTGGTCCATGAGACTTTTCTTTTCTTCGATTTGTGTACTTATTATTCATTTCAATTACAGTGTATAGTTGATGAGGATAATTATTCAGATACACATGCACATATAAGAAAAGCCTATATGACATTTCCCGTAAGTCATTGCCAGTGTGTCAGCGAGATGGTTTTCCTCAGTCATTATACTTATGGGTAACCGTATTAATGGGATTTATAAATAAATATTAATTTAAAACAAATGCTACAAGTATCCGGGGAAAATGCAAAACGTTATTTTTTTTAAACTTGACTTAAAGGTGTTTTTAAGGGTGTAGATGTACATGTATGAAGAATGAAAAAGTGAAGTTAACGAACAGTTATTAAAACATTGAAAAACAACAAAAACAAATTGCTACAAATCAGTGAGCACGATCCGATATTATGCATATGAAAATATGCATTTAAAATAGAACATTGTTTTAGTAGAAAAAAATTATATTATAGAAATATTAATAACGACTCATATTTATTTTGCTCACCTTCAATAATAAGATGATTGCAGATTTCTGTTTATTTACACTGAAACTATACATATAACTTATATTGAAAATGACACAGTTCCATGTCAGTCCTGATAAAGCCTATTAATGCTTCGTGAATAATAAATGTAGATAGGGAAAGTGGTGTCGTTAAAAGAAGTACCCCATGAAAGTATTCAAGTGTCAGCATCTAAACCAAGTCTGGGAATACGATTTCAGGAAAAATATGTTAAAAATGCGAAGTTGTGGGAGTCATGGAACAAACTGTAAATTAATTTAAAACCAATCTCCAAACACTGATCTCACATGTAATCTGCACGAGATTCCAATAGTGTCACCGTGGCCTTCAACTAAAACTTGACATAGAAATAGACTACATGTACATGCATATTATGTTATAAACTGAATTTTAAAATGTTAAAATTGAGATTCTTTGACGCCTTAAAATGTACTTTTGAAATACATCGACGTTAGATATATTATATAAGTTTAATAATTTAATATCTTTAAATGTTGTCAAAAATAAAGTGGAAAAAGCGAGTAAGTTATGAAAACTGCGGGGTTCGCTTCGTAAAACTGTTACGCGTGGATCAGTTTCAATATATACCCATTCCCATTCCGAAAACGAGGTATACTAATTTACACTTTTATAATACTTTAAATAGTATTTGACCTAAATCAATCTTGACGCTTTGACTTAATTCGACCATTTATTTATTGGCCATAAGCAATATCCATAAACATGACAATCACATTGAGAAAAGTTTCAAATCAAATCTTCGTGTGGTTCAAAACAGGCAAAATGTTCAATATCTGAAAAACACGCTAAAATCAACACATTCCCACTCTCACTTGGCCTTGACCTTTCTTGAGATACTATTCCTCTGTAAAGAGAAAAAGCATACAGACATTTTTTTAAATATAAAACTTTTTTATTATTATTTTTTAACTACAGTAGATTATTCAAAAGTCTTACATATAGGCATGTGTGTTGACAACAAATATATGATATATTTCTCAGAAATAAAAATTAAAACTGACATAACCTTACGTCTAGAATTCATAATTGTTTAAAGTTTTTGTCACATATGTACAGGGTGTTTCATAATATATGTCACACATCTAAATGTGCATAATTTGAATATCGAGCATCTTACCAAAAATATCAAAAGGCTATAGGTAAGCATATTGATCTAAAGTAGTTATGTTGCAAAATATCGGAAAAATTATAATATACGATGAAGTCATTGATTATATAATCAATGATGTCATAATATCAAAATTTCTCAAAATGGCGTACAATTTGCAGGAAAACTATGTTGTAAACTTTTATCATAAGAACAATATCTTAAATAATTACAGGGTGTGATTATGAAAATTATCCAGACTAGATATTGCTGTCTAGTTTTCATATATTATGAATAATTGGAGATTTGAACAAAATTATAATGTAAAGATGGAAGACGGTTAAATCCTAACACCCCCCCCCCAAAAAAAAAATCCAAGAAGAGGTTAGAACAATATCAAAGTGAATCAGTCATTGAGAAAACCTCACGAAAGTCAGTTCTGAGTTTAGGGAAATGGAATGTAACAATGATGGAAAATGTATCGAGTGTATTTAGAAATCTTTAATATGATTTGAGTGTGTCTGCATACAAGATATCAGTATTTAATGCCAATTGACTTTCAGAGTCGATCAAATTTTGCAAGATGGATTGAAAGAAGAGCGAGAGAAATGGACACCAACACATACCGGGCTGTAGTTCTGAAACGACACATTTATTGAAATACAACTTTAATTAAAAATAGATATGCTCTTGGGGGGGGGGTCTAAAAGCCAGATAGAAAATAAGAAATGCCTCAAGTATCCTGTGAAACTTACAAAACAGTGGTCAGAATTTTCTGAACCTGGGTCTTTTAAGTTATTTAGGACAATGTCAGGAAAACACTTAGAGAGTAACATTTTAGGATTTTTTGCCATAGTAACTGAAATGGAGAATGTTGGATACTTCTGACTCAAAATAATAATTTTGAATATCTGCTGATTAAAATGATATATAAAATGTATGCGTAGTTTTTGTTGTAATTTAACTATCTGTCTTAAGATGTGTGACATATATTGTGAAACACCCTGTACACAGGAAATTCAAGTCTGCGAGGACACACTTTCTCTGAAAATTCTATCCGTATACTTTCGCCTTGACTTTCCAAAGAGTAGTTCTTTAATGCCTCTTCTAACCTTCACATTAACAATGCTGTAAATGATAGGATTTGATGCATGTCCAATAAAAAAGAAAAATCTTAAAGCCAATACGTCAGTCACACTAAACATCTCGGGGAAGAAAGGGATCCAGGAAATAATATACAGAAATGTACAAATAGACAACATTGTCCAAGTCTTTGTTTGGACTACCGAGACTTTCCGGGCGGATGTGATATTGCCTTGATTTACACTGCTACGGATAGATGCTAATGAAGAGTTACGAATGGATGCTAATGAAGATTTCGGGGTATTTTGTAGACTTATTTGAATAACATCCGAGTCATTTGTTTTCTGCTCGTCCTTTCCTGCTGCTGTCACTGAACGTTCTACCGTGTTTGATGCAGCTTTTTCTTTTACTGCTTTCTTCTCTAGATTAGAAGACTTACAATCTTGAACATTAACCGCTGTAGGATCACTTTTTTGTTCGGCAGTGTTCGATTCACATTCGTCTTTAAAAGTGTCTTCTGATTTTTTCAGATGCAACTTTTGTTCTTCATTTTCAGCTGTGCATTTGTACCTCGTCTTTTGACTATTGCTTGGAGACAGAGAATTCGCTATACAAAATATTGGACCATCGTTTGAACTTTGATTGCTCTCCTTCCTTGCTTCATTTCCATTGGAATCTTGTTCCCGTAATTCTCGGTGAATGGATGGCCTAGCAGGTCTTCGACATGAGCCCACATAAGCTCCTCCTATAATACTCTTTCTTTGTCGGTAAATAAGTATAAAGACTAAAATATACATCACTATCAAAACAAGCAATTCTGAAACTATTAAGATAATGATAAAATTTCTGTACATATTGCTCTTTTCTTCTCCTAGTATGCCTGTCGTGTAGTCACAATACTTTTCCTGGACCTGCGTTACGTTGACCGGAAGAGGATCGCCATGAAAATCAACGTCATAAATGAGAGCAGACGGACTAGAACACACGATGGTAAAAATCAGAAATCCTATAATCCATGCGAGTTTTGTCCTACCCTTCATGACTTTCAAAGGTTTCCACACCATAAGCAAACGCTCCATTGCTATCAAAATAAGTATAAGATTGGAGAATCCTATCCCGGAATGGCGGACTACTTCGAAAACATGGCAGACAAATTGGCTCGTTACTAATCTTAGTTCAAACACAATTGTGTAGGGAGCAACCACAGTCATTATAACTAAGTCAGTGATCGCTAGCGTGAGGATGTAGGTTCTTCTAGGAAAATGACGTTTCTTTGAAACGTACACTGCGATCACAAGAGCATTGCCAATTGTTCCCAAAATTATGTAAATTGATGTTGCGATGAGGAATATGATATGATTCAAATCCCAAATGCTTTCTTGATACATTTTTGCCGCCTCGCCTTCTATAGTTTTCTTGAGCTGAACTGAAAGACATGGGAAAACATGAATTTAAATTGTTATGACGAATAATTGATGAAACTTTTGTATTATTAATAATAATAAAGATATTTCTAAAGGTAAAATCAATTCTGAATCCTACATTCTCTCAAAACCAGATCGCAAGAGCTGTCAACTACTTTTTAAATTAATTATTTGTTTAGCGTTCAAACGCGTAACACATATAATTGCTTCAAAAACTTTAAATATATCTTAACTCAAAATATGTCATCTTAGTTAATTACCATTAATTGATTTATTCAAATTCATTGATGTAAGTTCTGTCACTCAAACTCGTTGTACTATTTGTCACTTGTCTGTATTTTTTGTTAATTTGATCGTTACGTAAATTGAATTGTTCTCTGTTATGATTCAGGTATTCAGCTTCGAATGTAACTTTTAGTTTTTAAGAGTTCACATGATCGACCCAGAATAAGTAAGAGTTCTATTTAATTGACATTACATATTCTATGCCAAGTGTTTAATGAGACAGATACAGTGTAAGTATTAAGTTTTTAAACTTATTTCCAAATCATGTTTAATTTTATTTGATGAATCTATACTTGTAATTTTCAAATAAAATATGTTAAAATGTATCAAATAAAAAATTGTAACAGCTTTCACATAAACCAGGGGCTCGTAACATAAAGCTTGCTAATGTTATGGTCAACAAGATAATTGATTGGTAACAGTTCCCATGAGAAGCAATCATACTTATCCATACCTCAACGCACCCAAGGTAGTGGACAGTTACTCTAGCAATAGAAATTCTCTTTTTGCTTAAGTGTTCAAAAGCTGCAATGTTAGAACTATCTTTGATTTTGGTTGTTGTTTTGATAGCCCATAGTACATATATGAAGAGTCAAATACATCCAACTTTTTGTTTATTTCTAGCAAAAAACATTTACGAAAAACTGTATATAAATAGCTAAATAAAGCTATTTTGAATAGCTTAATAAAGCTATATAGCCATTTAAAGCTAAATGTATATAGCTAAATCAAGAGATTGTACTGGACCTGTAAACGGTGAAATAAGGATATATTGTGGGAAAGGGGATGGGGTGATAAAAATGATGAAAAATATTTTAAAACCAATCAAGTAAATTGTATGGTCCAGTCTGAATAAACAGTATTATCCACTGGTGAAATTTTACCTATTTTTGTACAAAATGTGGAATTAAAGAAAAATAACCGACTTATTATTTTTTTTTTTATCGTCATCAGGTCATGACTTAGCTGCAGATCTGTAGCTCTCCGAAATATATATTGATAGACTCTCCGGTCTATCAATAATTTTTTTTTGGGAGAGCTACAGTTCTGCAGCTAGTCATGACTCATCAGACATCCAAATTTATACTCAGCCTACATGTTTCTTGGGTCTGTTAGACAATGTGTGCTCTGGTGAAAAGCCAATTTAAAACAGATTCAATATAGAAATAATTCTCATTAAAGAAACTGTAGAAACATTATCAATTTTTAAAAAAAATGGAATATCATCTTAACTTCTATTTCGAAAAAGAAAAGGGTAAAAAGAAAAACTATACCTTGACAAGACAGAGAATCCAGATATCAGGCTAAATCATTGCAGATTGCAGTTTGGACACATGTATTCGGATAAAGGTACCCACCAAAAGTTAGTACTTTTGAAGTGAAGAGCATGGTAATTGTTTTGTTTATGCGAAAATGCCCTGGGTCAAAAGTTTAACTCAGTTAAAACTCAATCTGATAATAATTGTACGTAATACTACGGCTGACTGGTTTTCACCCGGTAGGAATTCAATTACAGAACCGTTATTATACTCAACAATTGATCATGACAAAATAACATGACAATGAAAGTCCGTTACGAAATCTTTTATTGGCCAATTAATTAAAATTGATTCATTGAAATTAACCGACCAAACCTTAAGAAACATTCTGACATTGATTTTACTGATGCTGTTTATGTTATCACAATTTTGTGATTGATTTAATTGAAATTAAATGATGACAATCCTCAAAATATCCATTCGTCTACCTGTCTGTCTGTCTGCGAAAATTTCAATTTTGTCCATCAGCTTTGATTGGATGAGGCTATGACTTAAATATTTTATATTTCACATTGGTGGATCCCTTTGACAAGATCTTTTTTTTTTTTGGCGGGTATGAATGTTTTTGAAATTTGACCCATGCACTTTTACAAAAAATAATGAAATTTTAACACAGATCATAACGTTTAAGCAAGAAGGGCTAGGACTTTAATTCCTCACGCGTGTATTTATTGTGACAAGACCTTTCCTTGTTTATAAATATATTGTAACTCTTTGACTTTGACCTTGGAGTTTAATTAAATTTAAGATTTTAGTGTCTTAAGATGTTCATAGACAAAATATCAGCATGCATTACCAGGAGTTTTTGCAAGATATCAAATTATGAAAATTGTTGCATTATTTCAAGAAAAATCTGTGAAAAATTAGCAATAGGGCTTCATATTTCACGGGTGTATTTCTCGTGGCAAGACCGTCATTTAATTAAAATCCAACAATTTTGACTTTTTGATCTTGACCTATTTTTATTTTAAAATCAAACTTGGTCATAATCTTTAAAGAGTTGGTGCTAGGGCTTTTATATTTCACATAATTATTCATATATATTTTTGTGACAAGTCCCTGTCCTTGGTATTTTTCACTTTGACCCTTTGACATTTGACCTTAGAATTTGATCCACTTAAATAAAACTTTAACTTGACCATAACTTTTTGAAATTCTTGGGCTTATATGTTTGATTGATATATTTATTGATTCCTGTTTTTACTGCGAAACAAAAATTTTAAACTCTTGATCTTGGATTTTAATTTGCATCAGAAAAACTTTGACCTTTGCCATAGGCTGTCATCAATGTTTTTTTTTTTTTTTTTTTTTTTTTTTTTTTTAAAAAAACGCATTTCTTTCATTAGCACTAAAAATATTGAAAGCATAGTTTTCAAAGGCAGTATAGAGAGATCAGAAACCGCACCAAACTTGTTTTCTTTTGACACTCCTTACAATTCCGGGACCTCTCTACATTTTGAATTATAGAAGTTATAGAAATTACAATTTCTGTTGATTTCAGTTTCAGTGCTGTGTATAGAGGACGTCTTGGTCAACTGCATAACAGATACGACTAGTATAAATCAGTAGACGATAGAAGGTTGTTATTCAATTTTTAAAAAAAAAATCTAATATCATGTTGTATTAATTCTCTAATAAATTAATATTATATATCCACATTCTGTTATTTACTTATATTGACCTATTTCAAAATATCTATTACTTTCTCATGTAAACTATATTCATGCAAAATATCAAGTGGACATTAAATTTTTACGAAAAGTATAATCCTACAAAAATGACTCAAACACAATTTACTCAATATTTAGTTGTTGATTTTAAGGGGCTAATATTGACTCTTATCATCACTCTTAACGACGCCATTTTACCTAAATTTTTTTCTGTGTGCAATAACCCATTTGATACAGTCTGTATTGATGAACAAGAGATTATAGATATTATTTCAATTCTTCCTGTTAACAAAGCAATAGGTCCAGACAATATTAGTCACAAGATGTTGAAATCCACCATGTATACTATTGTAAAACCATTATGTTTATTGTTTAATAGGTCATTAGTTGAATGTATTTTTCCTTGCAAATGGAAAGTTGCTAATGTTCTCCCATTATTTAAAAAAGATGATCCATCTGTTATGTCTAATTATAGACCTGTGTCACTGTTAAGTTGTATTGGTAAAATAATATGGAACGAATCATATTCAAACACTTGTATAATCACTTTCGTGACAACAATCTTTTTTATAAATACCAGGCTGGATTTTTACCAGGTCATTCCACTGTATATCAACTAATAGAAACATATGATACTATTGTTAAAGCTATCGATGATGGTGAAAATTGTTGTATGATATTCTGTGATCTTTCTAAAGCATTTGATCGTGTGTGGCACAAGGGTCTCTTGTTCAAACTCAGAACTTATGGTATAGAGGGAAATATGTTTCATTGGTTAAAGAGTTACATAGAAGGTAGATCACAAAGAGTATTATACAGAAACTTGCTATCTGACGAAAAACCTATACACGCCGGTGTCCCTCAAGGCTCAATGTTAGGACCTCTATTATTAAAGACGATGAAGACAAATATAACTTCTTAAAATCATTTATTTTTGATTTGGCGATTGTGGCCACGACCTACATAATACAATATATATAATTCAATAAGGGGAATGGGAGGGTGGGATTTTTAAGCTAAGAGACAAACAACACCCACCTCTTAATTCAACTGTAACAAATATTGTGACGTCAAAATTTAACAACAATAACGTCATCTATGGCAGGGCATTACGCGCACAAATCCATGGCGCGGATCTGAGACATAGTATTAACCATCGCTATAATAATTGGATTTATTTCAAAAAGGAAATAAATCTTATTATTAAAGACGATGAAGACAAATATAACTTCTTAAAATCATTTATTTTTGATTTGGCGATTGTGGCCACGACCTACATAATACAATATATATTTTATTAAACGTTATAACATAACTCCTTATAAACCTTATCCTTATAAACCTTATATCCTTATCCTTATAAACCTTATCCTTATAAACCTTATATCCTTATCCTTATAAACCTTATCCTTATAAACCTTATATCCTTATCCTTATAAACTTTATATCCTTATCCTTATAAACATTGCATCCTTATCCTTATAAAGTCCTGAAGATTTGAATACTGACAACATTCAAGCTGGTACTGGGTTAGCAGATACTCAGCAGAAGTTGTGAAAAAATAATTGTATCATGGAAGGCGTCTCGAAAAACCGCCAAATGGTTGTCCGTTGAAAATGACAACCACCGCCAACGAAGTCAAGGCTCAATGTTAGGACCTCTATTATTTCTTATATATGTTAATGATGTTGCTGAAGAAATGACAAGTTTTTGTAGATTATTCGCAGACGATAACTCCCTACAACAGTCATCTAAAAATGTTAATACTATTGAAAACAAACTGAATTCTGATCTTAAAAGGCTAGAAATTTGGTCGAAAAAATGGCTTCTTAAATTCAATCCTACTAAAACTAAAGCAATATTTTTTAGCCTGAAAAAAAGTGTTAATCTTCCAGCAAAGTCAGCCAGAATTTGTTTCTTCTCATAAACATTTAGGAATTTTTTTCTCGCAAGATCTTAGTTGGTCTACACATATTGATACTATTCTAGCTAATGCATATAAAAAATTGGGCTTGTTAAAAAACTTAAATTTGTAGTCAATCGAAAAACTCTTTCACTCATGTACACAACCTTTATCAGGCCACAGTTAGAATACGCTTCCTTGGTGTGGGGTGGATGTAATATAGGTGATTGCGAAAAATTAGAAAAATTACAATTATGTGCTGCTAGAATTGTCACAGGATTAACTCTGTTAGCTTCTAAAGATGCACTTTACATTGAAACTGGATGGGAACCATTACATGAAAGAAGGAAAAAGACTAGACTAGACTAACTACAATGTATAAAATTGATAAAAACCAAGTTCCTGAATATCTAACTGATATAATCCCAAACTTACGATGTAATTCATCAAGTTACAGTACGAGAAACTCGCAGAACTATAACATACCCAAATGCAGATTGCAAGCTTACAAATCAACTTTCGTTCCCCTTGTTATTGAAGAATGGAACTCATTACCTCTTAATGTAAGAAATTCTCCCTCCTTATCTATTTTTAAAAAGTCTATTTCTTACAATAAACAAATGCCACCCTTTTACTTCAGTTATGGAACTCGACGCTTAAATATAATACACACGAGGCTTAGACATAACTGTGTTCTTAATAGCGATCTTTTTCGATGTAATGTAATTTTGAGTCCACTGTGTTCTTGTGGAAGAGTGGAGGATACTCATCATTATTTCTTCTCATGCAAAAACTATACAGAAGCCAGGAAAGAATTTTTTGACAAATTTTTGCGAATGGGTAAATTACACACTGTCGATACTCACACTTTACTCTGGGGAGACAAATCGTTAAATGATTTTGATGAAATGAATATTTATTTTCTATTGTACAAACTTTTATTAAAAAGTCAGGACGATTTGGTTGATACAATAATTATTTCTAATTGTAAATCTTATACAGCATGTCTATTACATATGAAATGTATTCTATTGAATGTGTTTTACTCTGATTATCATATATTATTATTATATTATTATTATTGTTATTTCATTTTAAGCTGAAACCCATGTATGTAAATATGTTTGATATAATGCATATGTAGGGAGAGGGCGTAATAAGTTTTTAGAACTTTTGCCCAATCCCAATTGTAAAGTATAAGCAATAAAATATGTTCAAATCAAATCTTATCATATATAGTTCTTTATTTATAAATATTTCTAATGCTCTTAATTTAATGATATAAACGTACTCTAACCAAAAAAAGTTTTTTTTTCAAATCTTAAAACTAAATACATCATTTATTTAATTTCCTCAAATCAAAAGTGCCTCTTCTCAACACGCAAATCAACAGCGCTATTCAGTGGAGAGAAAAGTATTTCATTTCCCCTTTTGATAAACCTCCTCTATAATAATGTAACTTCCTCTAGTATTTATCTTTGAAATTATTCTTCATGTTTTTAAGAGCCCTTGAATGTTATAAAATTATATCTTCTTGAATGGTCGTAAGATATT